TCATCTTCGCAGACTACGGGCCATTTCTTCTAAAATTGCATCCATCAACTGATGGCTTTGCGCTGACGGGTAAAAAATGTGTGTTTCAAGCCATGAGAGCCCTCCTCAGTTCATCACATTGTACAGAAGCAAATATCTCTTAACTGCGTCACAGCGGCAACGACTTCATAACTTGCATAGAGGAACCGGGGCCAGCCTTCTTTCTAGTGTTTGCTGTCCTCAAGTAGATATATCGTGCAAAAACACCAAATAAAATATTGCCTTAACCTAATCACAATCTGATGTGTAAAAAGGCAATGCGGTGAAACGACAGCCGTTCGATGACGTTCTCCCGCAACAACACATGTATTCCCGTTGAGATTTCGTCCACTGCCGGAGCACGTGGTAGGCGCGGAACATCAGTGTTTTGACAAAAGCCGGACGGTTTTTGTTGTGCTATCCAAACAAATGAGCGGGTAACCTCCCGCGATGTGGTGTGGAGACTTCATGCCCGTACCAACTCCTTTCGCCTTCCACAGCGCCTCAGCAAGGTCTGCAGTCCCCGTTCCCACAAACACTGAGCTAGGGCGTGCAAGTGTGGAGGAGAGCGCTCTCGACATACAGGCTACCATGGACTTCATGTTTGTTTCCGCCCAATGATCGGTTTCCCCGTTGTAATTAACACTCGTGTTGATTGTAGTTTGCTTCTTTGTGATGCCCCTACACGGACATATTTGTATGCGGAGGCTGACAAGCGTAAACAACAGTTACTGCCCCCCAAGGTGGGCAGCAGTGACGTCATTAGCTAACTTTCATCACGCTCAAAAGCGATTGGTTGTGAGTGACGTCACATGTAGCAGAACTGAATCTGGCTGCATCTTTTCCTCACATTTTTTGTTGTTGCCAATTTTGCAGCACCTTTTGAAAAAAATCACATAGGGAGGTTCATTTCAGGTGTTCTTCCTTTAATCATGCATTGTCCCTCCGCTATACTATGACACGCTGAAACAATCTGTTTAATCGTCGTCAAACATACGACAAAAAGTACGACTGATGCGTGAAAACGTTTTGTTCGTTTTGGTTACCTTGTTGTCTGCTGGTTACGAATGTGGTCACGTTAACAATCAACAAAATAAAAAGACCTGTATCTAAACCATGATGGTGTATGTGTATCATCATTCATGGTCCATTGGCTTCCAAACGGGTTAAACAATCTGCAAACCCCGTGGGCCAAGAATGGGTGTCGAACCCATGGCTCCGCGCATGAAGCGGATCAGACAGTTCCATAACGTAGTTTTATTTACATGGGATTGCACAACACCAACGTTTTGTTTACACAGGATTACATGGGATTACACAACGCCAGCGCGCACACATCCAACGTTAAAACATGCTTGCCACTTAATAGCGCCAGAAACGCTGCCACTTAATGCCATTCTCAAACCATTGTAAAAATAAGCATTGAATCGCTTCACACATTGAAACACTCCCAATCGTTTGCTGATAACACGGCCGTAAATCGCATCACTAGCAAGATGCAGGGCATACGTGCAGCAAATACGTTGCGTTAAATAAGTCCCTGCACAGACCATATGCTTTTATAAGGACATTGTTTATGGTAAATACAATTCCGCCTCATAGTAAACCAACAAGAAATCAACTGACATATCGGGGGTGCCGGTAGTGTAGTGGTTAACACGCCTGCGTCAACCACTGCGCGTCTGGGAAGCCAGAGGTACAAGGTTCGATTCCCCGCGGTGCCCGCCCTTCCTGCCAGGGTGAGAGGCAGGCGGCGCCATATAGCCTCAGCAGCTGAGCGCGTCGTAAAGCCCCAATCACACACACACACACACACACACACACACACACACACACACACACACACACACACACAACATATATGTCAGAGGCCCTCCAGCGAGATCAGTTTAATTCAAGCGAATCAAGTCATTTCAGACATGATTAGCGTCGTCTTTGTGTTTAACGTGGCACAATTATAAGGGAAAACCACGTTGACCTGTCTGCAGCCTCCTATACATGATTTGGTCCATGCTAATGCCCATCACACGACCACGACCACTATACGAATTAAGTAATAAGGATTACTGAAATGAAAACCCTACAAATGCTTAAGTTATTATCCACGACACCGAACACGAAGCTAGCGACTCTATAACGTTAGGAAGCACGCGTCCAGTTATTGGTGCAATGTGGCGGGCCCGGACTCCTACAGTACTGACTTTATGTTCTCATGCCACGCCATGGCTCTGCGAGTGCATGATGAATGTGTGAGTTCACGTGTGTCCAATACTGTACACCACCATTGTACACAGCATACATAGCATACGTGCATTAGGGTGTGCCGTATGGTCCAAACCAGAAACAAAACTTGTTCCGGCGACGTGCACCGGATCACCGACATGAACTACGATGTGAATGACCACTTATCACAGCAATGGATTGTTCAAATAGGGTACAAGGCGTGCACATTACCAGCGAACATATTGCACAACAAAAATATGTTGCCTATACGATAATATATAGCATAATTAGTATCAACGAATGCTGATGCAAAACGAGGTCAATCCGCATTGTTGCACAGAAGCTGCTGTGATGCAATCCATAGGGTATGTCATATGTCCGTCAGGCCAGGCTCGGCGGCGGTGGCTTTTTAGCTCACCGCATGAGCGGGACGGGGCTCTGTTAGAATCGTTTGCTGGGCATAAAGACAGTTTTGAGAAGAAGTCCCATATTTTTCCTAGAACATTTCAATTTTTTTGGCTTTGTTAAAATGTGGCCGGGAGAGATTAGGCAAACTTACGGAGGGGATCACTTCCGCAAGCAACGCAAACCTCATCCACGTGTCAGGGGACGGTCCACAAATTACGGCCGATGGCGAGCATGTCATTTTGTGTCTTAGAGGGTGTGCCATATGATTCGTCTGAGACAAAAGAAATCGAATCATCAAGAAACAGCCATTCTATGGTGATACGTGATGCGTGAATATCTGTTGGCAAAAATTATTCGACAGCTGGATCGGCGATGCTGCGGTGCTGGGATGAGAGACTTGGCGGCAGGCGATGCTTTGCAAGGATTCGTAGTCCCAACACTTTCGCTGCAACAAATTAAGTCACATCAAACAACAAATGACAATAAACCGTGACACATCAGACAAGCGCTGACGGCTTTGCCACATATTAGAGACGTAGCCAAGGGGGAGGGGCACTGAGGCCTTGTCACCAGAGGCTTAGGTTTTGGGCCAAGCGATTATTTCTAGATGTGGGTGATTTCAAGACAGTTCGGCCCAAAGTCGCAAGATTTTGGAGAAAATTTGACAGTCGGCCACGTAAGGAAAATTCAAGCTACATAGCTGCCACTTGTAAGAATTGAAAATGAGTGACTGCTCATGATAACAATGAAAATGGCTTCCAGTCTGGATGCTCCCTGGATACACCTTTAATGAATACAATTTTTTAGAGTTACCAAGATGTGAAAAACATCGAGCCTTCGATACTAACAATACGGCCACGAGGACGCATTACGATAGGGAGAGTCACTCGTCTCATATCTCTCTGCGACAGCGCTGAATGCTATGATGTCTTTTCATTGGTTAAACTGATTGTGCCCGCTCATAAGAAGACCTTGCATACTCAATGTCTCATTTCCATGCGCACATTATTTGCGTAAATAAATAAATTAAGATGGTGAATCACAAAAATTGATGTCCGTACAGCCATCTGACTCGGTTGCACATACTCATGCTCCGCACTCAGCTGCCTTCAAAATCCATCGTTTCATAACATCGAGCGTCTTAGACCGCTGCAAAAGATACGGAACATTGCGTAGTCGGGTCGCCCGCGATCGTATCCAAGCACTCGATCTGTGCCTGTGTTGTACCAGGGCTGACCCGGGTCGTATGGTGCTGACTACGACAGGCAACATGGACACAACCCAAATATGCGTCAAAGCTGACTTAGCAGGCAACAAAGTGTGCCCAGTGTTCATGGTGGAGCTCGGATGCTGGGATTGCCCTTGGGACGCGCGGAAGGGTGAGCCCTTTGTACCAAGCAAACCGTTTCGACCAGTATAGGAATGCATTTCAAGAGGATAGCACACCACCGATGGTTTGTTTCATTGTCTCCTCAAAATGGGGAGTACCAGCCAAAGAGTTATTGGGCAATGTTTGATCGGGAGCGAGGAGGTGAGCTCGCACACGGGCTATGCGTGCGAGCTCATGTCCTGGCGTATGGCGACAGCCGACCTCCCGTGTCCAGGTGACATCACACTTCAGCGATACTGCAGCAGAGACCTGGCCGTACCTATGCCGGCCAACGGCAGCAAGTCGCACACACCGCCGCCTGTCGACGGAGACGGCCTCTTACGATGGAGGCGAATACGATGGGTCACCGTGACTAGGAAAGCTGGGAGCCACCGTGAGCAGGTGGTGATAGTGATAGAGCACCCAACTGGTCATACGTGTCGCTCACTTCAAAAGGCAGAAGCAACTGATCACTGTGTCATCGTCACATGATGGCGGGTGGCCCGGGGGCGGCCAAGATGTCTTACATGAGGGTAGCTACACCGGCGGAGGTCGAGCCTCTATTACATAATAGCAGTTGGTCGTGGAAAAGTCCGGGACGTCATTATATGCGGGAAGTTGTTCCGAATAAGCTCAGAACATCTCCACCTGATGGCAGGCGGATCTCGAGAGGGCCGATCCGCCATCTCTTGATGACGGCCACCCTGTGAACGCCAAGATGTCACGACATGATGGCGGTTGGCCCAGAAAAGGGTTGGACTCACTACATGATGACAGCAGCCCGGAGAAAGCCAAGCCGCCATCACATGATGGCGGGCGGCATGTCGCCGCAGTCGTAGCTACCGCCGTGCGTGCGGCGGAGGCTGGCGGTGGGTGCCGGTAGCCGGGGGCCGTGCAGTGTGCACGTGACGTCAGGGACGGCGGCGGTGGCCGCCGACCCGTGTCAGGCCGGCGGCGGCGGTGGAGACCAGCCGACCGGGGCGAGGTCGGATGACGTCACCACCGGCGCCGGCCGGCGCGCCGGCTTCGATGTGTTCCGGCAGCGCAGCGCGAACCGCACCTCCCGTGCCATCTCGCCGAACAGGGACACCTGTTGGCGAACAGAGAAACTGTATGATTTGCCAGGTGGCGCTGGCGGCAGAACGTGCTGAAAATTGTGGGCTGGGGAAGAAATGCTGTGCAGATGGACGCTAGATAGTTAGCACTTTGTAGGAGAAGAATGAAGAATAAGGGGATAAAAATGATGTGAGCAAGAGACTAAATCCGAACGCAACTGACAGAATATCTTCAGCCTCAGCCAGAATATGCTCCCTCAGCCACCCAAACAAACAGGAAAGCTCATCGATTTGAACACGGAAGTTCACCAGCGCCTGAGACCAGGGCGCCATATCATCAGCACTGAAAAGCCCCCGCCGTCAACGCAAGGCCACGTACATGCTCTTCGTGGGCGAGCTTGCGCGACTTCCAGACGAACTCGCAGATGGCGATGAAGCAGGCTGCTGCCATGCCTCCGAGCAGTACCACAAACACGCCGCCCACGTGGTCCAGGCCCAGCTCGTTGGCCGAGTTGGTGCCCAACTTCGAGTCCTTTCGCTGCGGAGTGCGGCGAACGTTTAGGAAATCAGGAGTCGGGAGCGTACTTGAGCTCCTGTAGGGGGTCACAGGTAATCATGCCTCTTGGATGTGCACGTATATCATGTAAAATTAATAGGGATCAGCTCGGGGACCACACAGGAACTAAATCATACAGCCCATGGACGTAGAAACAGGAGATAGGATGCTCTCAGGTTCCAAATTGTTGAAAAGGCATCTACCAGCTTCTCTGATGTTATATATATATATATATATATATATATATATATATATATATATATCTCTCTCTCTCTCTCTCTCTCTCTCTCTCTCTCTCTCTCTCTCTCTCTCTCTCTCTCTCTCTCTACATGCATATCTTATTCCGTTGCTGCTGCAATCCTCCCAGCACCAACCTTGCACTTAACGCCTCCTTTCTCTTTCCACCACTTGGTCTTGAGCAGCTGCAGAGTCCCGTTCTCTTGCAGGATCAGAATAGCAGTGCTTATTGTCGAGGTGTACGGCGACCCTGGAGTGTGCCGAACACGAGGTTGAAGCTTTCGAGAGAACGTCTTCGCACATAACTGGTACGCCAATCCAAATGAGCACAACGCCGGTCTTTGAAATAACGTACATCAATGGAGGAATACGCATAAGTAAGTGATTCATGAAGCACCAGAAGCGGGTCGAAATGCATTCTACCTGACGTTTCGGTTTGCTCCATATCGGACACGCCGATATGCCAGTACAAACACACTGTAAACGCGGCAATCTACTGGGGCCCTTCCTCGCTCGGGCTCTAGTATGCTGCGTAGTGCTGCAATTTACTTGAGACTAGCCTCCCGTCATTTCCTTTTAGGCTATGACTCCGTAACTTGACTATTCCGACCACCGTGACATGAAGTCCGATCACTTCTCTACCAGCTTCGCGTCACCGGACGCCGGTGCGCCCAGCCAGCCCTCATATCACAGCGTTGGCGGCCGAGCCTGTCACGTCGGCATCTCCGGACAGCCGAGCCTGTCACGTCGGCATCTCCGGACAGCCTAGCCTGTCACGTGGACATCTCCAGGCACCCGAGCCTGTCATGTCGGCATTTCCAGATAGCTGAGCCTATCATGTCGGCATCTCCGGACGACCAAGCCTGTCATATCGACATCTCCAGACAGCAGAACCTGTCATGTCGACATCTCCGGACACCATGCGTTCTTTCCTTGTGGTATCGTCACCAAGCTCTTGCTTAAAGTCGACTGGCCGGTGCGTCAACAGCGACAAAACCCTGCCCAACTCTATGTCCACCTCTGATGAATTCAGGACCCGCCATCGCCTACACCCCGCAACGACAATGCCGCCAAACACAGCGTAACCTACATCCTGCAACGGCAATACCGCCAAGCACAACGTAACGTACACCCTGCAACGACAATGCCGCCAGACGGAGCGAAACATACACCCTGCAACGACAGTGCCGCCAAACACAGCGTTACGTACACCCTGCAACGACAATGCCACCAGACAGAGCGTAACCTGTTCTCGATGGTCTTGTGCCGCTACCGCCACAGACACCTGCTAGAGCAGCGGTGCGCCGGGCGTCAGCCCCTCACCGGGTGGAAGAGCGATGCCGTAGCTCTTGGTGTCGAGCAGGCCTCCAACCTGCTGCAGGTCGCAGTTGCGCTCCACTACGTATTCCAGCTGCGGCGACTCCATGATGTACGCGTAGCGCTCGGCGGAGTTCTTAACGCGCTCCACTCCCTCGCGAGCTGACTTCGCGAAGAGGGACGGCCGCGCCGACTGCATGAACGACCACATGCGCTGGTACGAGGCGATCTTCGAGTCCCTGCGGCGGAAGTTGGACTAGCGTGAGGACTGGCTCGTGCAGGGGATTTGGGGGAGCGGGAGGGGCTCAGATGAAACCAGAGACCTCCTCGTGGTCCGCTTGAAAACCCAAAATGCCCGCATGCGCCGCAGACACGCCACCAATTTTGTCACGCCGCGCACTCGCGCAAATCACCAGGCGCATTTGAGAGTTTGTTCGTTGCAACAGTAGAGGATCGGGTCAGATCGACGAGACGCCCGCACGAGAGCCGTGATACGTACCGGAAAAAGTTCTTGGTGGATCCAGACTCGAGGGCGCCGTACTTGATCTCAGTCTGCTTGGCGAGGTCCTCGGCGCTTTCAATAGGTGACACCATTCGTTCAACTGTCAGAAATGCCGCCAGGTTCGCCGTGTACGAAGAGATCTGCCCATGCAAAGAGTGCATGGAGAAGGAGGGAAGTTCGGAGGACCGGTGACGCAAAGCAACCGCGAATTTCGTCTCTTCCGGGAGTGTCGTGTTAAAGTAATTTGGTGTTCCGAAAACTTTTTTTGGGATGCTGGTAAGAATAACAAATTATCACACCTCATTCTGCCCCTTGTGGCGTTTTCATCTTAACAGCCATTCGCTCTTTTCGTGCAATGAGTCTGCATAGTGTTAAATTCGGCATGGGATAACATGAAGGTTGTACCTTTGTCTTTTACTAAGCTGACGGCTCATGTTGTAGAGCACACATTACAAACGACTTGCAGAGAAATGACCGAACGGCTGACAAAAGAAGAAAGATCCCACACGAGTTCTTTTTCAGCTAAATGTGCGATACTTCCATGTAATCTGCATGTGGCCATAAATTTACTTTGAGAAGTTTAAAGTTCTTCAAATGATGCGCCCATTGTTGAGAACGAGCTTGGTAAGACATACTTTTCACGGCACTTTTTTATGAAGAGTCGTCAGTGAAAGTATGCAATTGTGAGACATCTCTTGCATTGAGATAATTATCGCTTGGTTACCAGGCGGACACAGTGAACAGCAGCAAGGAGACTGTTATCTCACCATGATCAGAGTGAAGAACCACCACATGCCGGCCACCATCCGTGTGGAAATAGCTCTGAAATGGCCAGTTCGCTGCCAGCTATTCATTTTGTCACATTGTCTTCACAATGGTTTCCACGCATCCAGTCGGAAATCGATTCGTGCTTCACTTTCAACATACGCAGTTGCATTTTGCAAACAATTCATACGAATCGAATGCACCACCGCTGCTCTGTACTGTGCATAAGGAGCTGCAAAACGATGTGGCTACATGTCAGCAAACTCGAGCACTCAGGTGAACCCAGCCCACATAATTCTACACCACCTATCGCGCACTCTGTTTCACAGATGACGCGCGCGTGCCGCACAGCAAGACTCCGCGAGCGAGCCGCGGCGCGTCTGGCACTGACTTTGGCGCGATGTCCGAGCCCTGCTGCATCAGGCTGCCGATGGTGAACCACAGCGAGTTGAGCAGGCTGAACTGGTTCTCCAGCACGTCCGGGTCCTCCCGGCACGGGTGCGGGTTGTCCCACTCGTACGGACTGAACCTGGGGCCAGCACGCACACACGCACCTGAGGCCAGCCTGGCGGCAGCGCCACCCGGCACCTGCCAGGTCGCCGACGCCAAGTGGCCCCTACATACGACCATAAACCGTCCGGTGCGAGGCGACGCATGGCTTCTGTGCATGCAGCACATAAGCCAACTGCAGTATAAACTCATACCTAGAATCTAGGCACGCCCTGCTCCCGCGACACATTCTGACAACCCCTGCTCAACGCTGCACATGTACGGAATAAAACACGGGCCGGAGACGAGATTGCTCTGACGATACAAATTACCTTTCGCGTCCTATCACGCGCTAGAAATACCTGCCGTCCTTGAACTGTATCGTGGACGCGCATAGACGGAGGGAAGGCTGTGGCGATGGCAGGGGAGCGGGGGGCGATGTCGATATATATATATATATATATATATATATATATGTACACAAACAGATATATACATATATGTGTATACACACACACACACACATATATATATATATATATATATATATATATATATATGCACACACACACACACACACACACACACACACACACACACACACACACACACACACACACACACACACACACACACACATACAAACGCTGCTCGAACGCTGCCCTGCTCGTCCGCCGGGACAGTATCACTATAGACTGACATCACACACACCGCCGCATGGCTGGGCAGTGCAACACAGTCTAACGTCAACTTTAGCAGGCATCTTGCCACGATGATTGCTGCGTGGATTGGAGTTTACCCAAGCAACATACATCGACAGGGGCAGCGCCACCAAGGACAGGGGGGGGGGGGAGGGGCACCTCCTTGCCATTACCCAAGGGGGTACACATACGGTGTCCAAACTTTGCCCCTTTGAAATTTTAAGAGGCCCTAGATGACCGAGACAGGACATTTCATAAAGTGACAGAGGGGTTTCTAGCCCGGCCATTAGGAGTTCCCCACCCTCACCTTTATTTGTAACATGGCTTGTCAGCAGTTTTATAACAAGAAACTATCACTTACCTCGGGCTGGCCGAAGCAATTTTGGTGTAACGCCTCCCTTCCTACGCCAGGTTCACAAACCTGCCACGACCCCTCCGAAGTAAATCGTAGAATGCCAAGGCTGAAGTTATTTCAATAGCCATACGAGAGGGCGTTTCCATAGCAACGATGTTGTCGTTTTGGACCCGAGAAGCTTAGATGCCAATGATGATTACAGGAATGCTGCTAAAATTAAGCAGATGGGATCATTTATATGTTAACTCAGTAATGAGTTCGTGATTGACGATAGTGAGTCAGTGAGATCAACAGTGACGTCAATGAGTGACGATAAATTCATTGATTAATGACTATCACCTTTTCCTCCGTTGAAATGCACACATCTTGCAAGTCTCGATATTCTTCCATTATTCACAGATATAAAGACTGTTTGGTTCGTGTGTTCATACTCTGAGCTTCCCTGTGCTTCTTGTGAAAACAACACGCACCTCAACGACAAAAGCTCCCGTAAATAGTCGACTTTATCCTTACCCTAAGTTGTGCACTTTGTGAATTTATACCGTGTCTGTTCGTATCATGGCAAGAAAGAAAACGTATTGTGGAAAAGAGGCTGGTTTTCACAATGGTCTTTCAGCCTTGTCCATCACAGTTCTTGGCATGCATTTGCTATATCTATAAAGTTACAATGCGAACTGAAGTTTTATTCATTTTCTCACATATACGTCTTCGTCCGCCATTGATGCGACATCGCCTCATGGCTCAGCAATTTCTCACTGCAGGTTAGTTCTCGGTCTGGATGGCCTGTTCCTCCGCTCCCGCATAGCCATGCGCCAGCTGCTCTATGATAAACACAGCTGATCTTACGGAGGGCCAGAGCATCTTTTAATTTTTCTTCAGCTTCGCAGTGAACGTCTACTCTATGGTCAGATCGGCTGCCTTTATGAAACCCGATTGGTGGTGAAGTATGGAATAATGCTTTACTTCGGATGCCCCCGTAAAAAGTAGAACCTTACGGGCGTTGAAGTAAATAGTTACTATTTACTCTGCGAAAACGAAATCGAAGTAAAAACTTGGGAGAATACTCGCTACGCCAGAATTGCACGCCATTTTCTGTTCATGAAACTGGTTATTGAGGGTAGTGAGTTGTCTATGCAGCGTCCCGCCGTTTCCAAACTGAGAAAGATAGAACCTAAAGGAGAAAAAAGTGAACTGGCCTGGACTAGATGCATTGTATGGTTTTTTGCGTTAGGTATATAGCTGACCCTAATAAGCCAGGTCAAGAGTCAATTTTTTCGGGAAAATCGAGCTTTATTTTGCTTAACATGCTAATATATATATATATATATATATATATATATATATATATATATATATATATATATATACCTAAATCATGATGAGGCCAAGTACCCAAGATCCTCAGGTGTTGAACGTGACTTGTCAACAAGCAGCATTCTTTGGAGCACCGGCACAGTGAGATGGATTCTACAGGTTCGAGCTTACAGTCTGCACAGTGAGGTGGATTGTACAGCTTCGAGCTTACAGTCTGCCCAGTGAGATGGACTCTACAGGTTCGAGCTTACAGTCTGCCCAGTGAGACGGATTGTACAGCTTCGAGCTTACAGTCTGGACAGTGAAATGGATTGTACAGCTTCGAGCTTACAGTCTGCCCAGTGAGATGGATTCTACAGGTTCAAGCTCACAGTCTGCACAGTGAGATGGATTCTACAGGTTTGAGCCTACAGTCTGTCCAGTGAGATGGATTCTACAGGTTCGAGCTTACAGTCTGCACAGTGAGATGGATTCTACAGGTTCGAGCTTACAGTCTGCATAGTGAGATGGATTCTACGGGTTCGAGCTTACAGTCTTCACAGTGAGATGAATTCTACAGGTTCGAGCTTATAGTCTGCACATTGAGATGGATTCTACAGGTTCGAGCTTACAGTCTTCACAGGCTGAGCCCTGCGTCCCAGGCCCGGCCCATCTCCCAGGTTGGCTGGGGACGGGGCTCCTGCATACCTGGCCAGGATGAAGAGCAGTACGGAGACGCCCAGGTAGGCGGTGGCCATGTACAGCCAAACCTCCAGCGAGAGCGGCGCCAGGAACGAGAAGAGCTGCAACAGACGACTTAGAGGTCATCAGAGGTCATCAGAGGTCAGCAGGGATCCTCAGTGGTCCGAGTTGGGCGCAGGCGCCGGCCGCCACTGTCGGAACAGGTCCTGTCCGTCTCCAAGCCACGCAGGGGGCCGCGGAGGGGGAGGGGAGGGGGAAGCGACCAGGCTACACACGGCCAGGAGAGCATCGGGCCGGCCGGCGCTGGCTGTTTGTGTGCCAGCCGAAATACACCTCCGATACTTTGGTCCGATCACATGGTAAAACCATATACGGTTATGGAGTAGTTCCACGGCTGGGTATAGTGTTATGCATCTAAAAAATGTTTGTTATGTGGAACACTAGCTCCCCAGATCGTCTTGTCCGCAACACTGTTGCTTACCGGGGGCGGTTCGTTGGTGGGCTTCTTATACAGGATACTTATACCTGTGGACAGCGAAAAGTCATGACTGCAATACGGTGTCAAGTTTAAAACCATATAGGTGCAAAAATCACCACCTACTAAAATCCTGCAAACTGGCTATTGCGCGACTTCTTGTACCGGCACTTATGTTGCAGGGTTTGAAAAGGTGGCGAGGACAGCGATGGGCGAGACTTGGGCGCTGGAGGGCTTTTAGCCATGCGTTCAAGACTGGCAGCATGCACTACTCGTAAGCGCTTGAAATACTGCCAGGTGTCATTTGATGGGTGTGTTAAAAAGTTAATAAGCTATATCTTCTGAGGTTAGTTCATTGTCGAGAAATAGCTTATCGAATTCAGTTTGAATATTCAGTTTCATGCTACACGTTAGTTGTAGCGGAAATTCTGACCGCATCTAGCCATTGCGTGGTTCTAACTCCGGTTAAATCGCACGTCAAGCTTTCGGTCAGTTCGCTTCCCTGGGCATTTATCGCGCAGCACAACGCAATGAGGCAGCCACATGCAGCACACGAGGAGCGCGTCTAAGCTTCCAGGTATTTCGAGACAGCCTCTCTGCAGAGGTAGGCACTGGATGGCGCGCTAAGACATCACGCTAACATATCACGCTAAGCTATCACGCTAAGCTATCACGCTAAGATATCACGCTAATACGTCACGCTAAGATGTCAGCAACGAGAGTATCAGGCGATGGACATAACGAAATACATTCACAAGGAAATGTATGCTATGTCAGAAAAGAGCTTTTTATTACCCGCCGCCTGACGGAGCATAGACAGCTCATATGCAATAAACTAAATAAACTCGATAAAAGTGAATGTGTGTGTCGGTCGGCCAGCGACCAACGGAAGCCGACAGGCTGCAGCGGCGGTGGACCGTCTCAGCCGGGACCCTGTGGCCGGGTGGCCCAGGATGTGTGTACGCGGGAGTCGATGGTCATGTTGCTTCCAGATGCCTACAGGCTGTGCTCGCAATCTGTTTCGGTCGATGTTGCGTGCATGAGCTAGGATGTCAACTAGATGGCTCAATCGCTGTAACGCTACAGAGAAATGTGCAAATGTACTCATAGAGTACAGAAAACACAACCACACTTAAAGCGTTGTGCATATAGTCGCTCAACTCACCTAGGTTCATCCACGGCATGGTAAAATCCAGCACCTGTTCTCTTTCGTAGGTGATGGAAAGATCCGTGACGGCCATGTCCGCTCTCTGCAGCGTGTGCAGAGAAACAAGAAGGTGATGGACAGATCCGTGACGGCCATTTCCGCTCTCTGCAGCGTGTGCAGAGAAACAAGAGGTCCTGTTGGCACGTACCCTTCGCAAAAGTAACAGCAGAGGAACGCACTGAAGTATTTGTTTCACAGAAAGATTGCTCTGCAGCAAATATTAAGATTCAAGCAGCTCCCAAAATCGCTCGCTTTCATCAAAATGACTCCCAATTTCGGAGTAATATCACAAATCCATTGTCTGGGATCCAGTGCAGACTTACAGAACGACGTACGACGGAGAGTCAACTGCGATCCTGACAAGCCCCGAGAAAACGAATTGCTTCGGGGTTGCCCCTGTCCCTCTACAAACTGCTCCCCAGCTTGGAGGCGTTTGCGGTTGGTACTCTGCAGTCTGAACGCCTGGCTTCGCCCATCCTCGCCTCCCCCTCCTCCCCTACTCTTCGTCATCTCCTCTCCTGCCATGCTCGCCACGGGTACGTAATACGGGCCAATTACGGGCGAGCGGCGGCGGCGGCGGTGGCGGCCGGCGCAAATTGGCCGAAATTTGGCCCGAGAATCGGATGAGGGGCTAATGGCAGCTGGACGGACGGCGGAGCTGCGGGAGGAACAGGATCGGACACCGGCCGGTATGGCAGCTGGACGGACCGCGGAGCTGCAGGAGGAACAGGACCGGACACCGGCCAGTGGAGCACTAGAAAGGCAGTCACCTAAAGTCATGTAGAAATCACGTCAAGGTCACGTGAATCGTGCGTCAACCGCATCAGCTGGTCATCAGTGCACAGGAGAGTAACTTATAGATACGTTCCGTACTTTGCCACATACGATTCGAGGGTAAAACACTTATAAGAATAAAAAGTACAGCGTAATCTTTTGTTTTTACCCGCATTATCAACTCGGAAATATTCACACGGAAAACAGTTGTTTTGCCAGCCCTTTATTGAAACGGATGAGCATTATAATCACTACCAGCCTGAACTACAGCGATCAGCTTTAGCTTTCACTGAATAACACTGCTCCTTAGGTGTCCAATGACACCACGATCTCATATCTGCATTGCATTCTCACATGGCCAGGATTGCCCCCTACAGCCTGTCCAGACTGGCAAGCCTCCTCCGACAGCATATTCCAGACGCAGTAGTCCAGCGGGCTCAGCTCAGGATGGTTTGGTGTTCGCTCGTCCTTTTTAACGAGACGCTTTGACGAGGCGGGTGCGACCAGCGAGCAGCTCTCAAGTGTGTTCCGCCGATGCGGGACACACTTGAGCTGCGTGCGCCGTCCTACTGGGGAATGAAGTGTGTGCGCCGTCCTACTGGGGAATGAAGCCGGCAGTGCGGAGCTTCCCCACCCCGGCAGCGACCTCCAAAATGCTCTGAACGCTCAGTCGCACCTCAAACGCCTTCTCATCGGTGGGAGCCACGCCCTTGACTTTTTCGCTGCGAATCTTTCCGTATGGGCCGATACAGTTCGAAGCCGCACAAATGCTTGCGTCTTCTTTGGCTTAAGTTGGCGCTGCATGTTCGATCCGTAAACGCCCAATGGGCCCCGGCCGCCCTGCGCTGTACAGGTGGGCCCCGACCACCCTGCGCTGCACAGGTGGGCCCCGGCCGCCCTGCGCTGTACAGGTGGGCCCCGGCCGCCCCGCGCTGCACAGGTGGGCCCCGGCCGCCCTGCGCAGCACAGGTGGGCTCCAGGCCGGCCCATGATTTTGTATGTTTTATGTTTCTCTTTCGGAGGGATGTATATATAGTATAGCGCATATTGGGGACCGCTTTGGTCACTTCAATGTATTCGTGAAATCGTCATTCGATTTAGCACAGATCCGGTCCCAACGGTACTTTAAAGGTTGTCAATTGCACATAATCAAGACACAATTGGTCTTCTTCATTTTTAAAAAATTATACCGTTTGGTGATTAGTCTAGTGGCAGTTTTTAGGTCTGCATCTTGTCGCTAAATAATTTGCTTTAAGGCTCAATAAAATCTCATGTATCAAAGTTTGTGAAAATCATCATCTTTAAAGCATAGTTTTGATAACATTTAATTTTCGTTTTTTCTTAACTTCATTTGAGTTGGCTGACTTGTGACATCAACAGTAGATTCTACGAAGTGGCCTAAATAATTAAATCTATTTTCTGCTATAATCTTGTTCAGGTTTACTTTGCAAGCCTTCAACCGCTTTGCTTTGGTATTCGTTTTTGGATTCGATTATATGCCATTCCTTACGAACATCGTCATTATATCGCAGTTAAAATTAAGCTTAACTCAACAACCATTACCATGAAAATATTGGCAAAAAACAAGAAAGACTCACCGAGACTAAGTTTTGTAACTGCGTTACTGGCAAATGTCATTCGACTGGCATCACTACCGGCATAGCAGCACCAGACCATGCTTATCAGCATGTGGAGTCTTAACGTTGCACTCAGATTCAAGCACACACAGTGTGAGATTCATTTCAAGCGAGCATAAGTAGTTGGATAAGCAAACACGGCTTACTCGATAGCTAACAATGGCAAACGAACGGCTTTGAATACTTAAAACGCATGATGTACTTACTGGCACTCAGCCATAAGTTATTCCTTGAGCAGTCGCTTAAGCTACTTGCACTCGGGGACGTCTTCACGCCGTAGCCCCACATGCACGCATCCTCTTCCCTCACCATTTTTTTAAAACATGACATAACAGTGTTTAAGCTGAAGCTGGAGTTGAAATTATGAAGTCGTTGTTCTCACAAGAAGCACCGCTTGGAGTAAATAGATGTTGATTATAAATTCGATGTATATCTATGATGATTATATGATGTAAATCTAACGCGATCGAGAACATGCACTGCACGCGCCCCCAGCGGGATGCAGTTTTTTAAGAGAACTGTTGGGTTGTGCCCCCCCCCCCCATTGTAAAATCTTGCGTACACCCCTCCCTACATTTGAATAGTCATGAAGCACCATGAATATATCACGTTGATAATGCGACATACTTCGGTGTAGGTTGCTGACAAGTGAATCGCATAAATTCGTGGACATGGCATCAACGAGCATTAAAATTGGCCATGTTCGTCTCACTTTCCCTTTCGGTTGCAACGATTTAATTTCATGGGCAGAATGGGTGGGGGGGGGATGCACAATCTGGATGCACTTTTTACTGTTGGACCAGTTAAAAAACGCATCTAGAGGAGCGAAGAAGCTATCGTAAGAGGCGCTTGCATGCATAATACAAAAGAAGTTAGAAATCAAACCAAAACAATGGATTCTCGCGACCTGTTGAAACTAAATAGCTTGTAACCATTTAAGCAGCACCAAATCACGGAGATTGCATTTACACCCTGTGATACAGTTACACCGTTACGACACTTTCCACGATTTCTCAGTCCTACCGGGCATCCTTTGTGAATCATTATGATGTCACAAGAACACAAAATACGCGATCGAGTTATGACGCAAACCTGCCCCCCCCCCCCCCCAACCACTCGCAAACGATACTCCGCAGCCTCCCCGAAGCCAGAGTCGGCTTCTTTTCCGGCGGCCTGCGGCGCCTCACTGACCTGGTCCAGCAGCGCCTTGACCATGCCGGTGGCCTGGCCGGTGACTGGGTCTATGCCACCGTACGCGCCACCCTCCACCAGGTCGAACTCGACGCTGAAGTTGCGCAGGCTGGCGATCTCGTTCACCAGGTCTATGCAGAAGCCCTCAAACCGGCTGTTGCCCTTCAGCGACGTGTCCGACTCGTTGACCATCATGATGTATGGCTCGCTCTGCGGGCGGTGGGCGACGCCGCGCTCAGCGGGTTTTCGTCTTGGACAGAATCAGACCCGCTGGGATTTTTTAAATCTTTGATTTTAACCTTAGGCAGGTCGCTGCCCTGTTTCTTTTAAGTTGGCGAGGGTATTCCGGTGCATGGCGTCCGATGTAAGCGTGTAAAACACATAGGGTTACTGTAAGGTGCGAGAAATACCAATCTGACACGCATCAGTGATATCAATTTGGTCAATAACAACTCTTGCCTCTACAGTTTTCATGTAGCTTGGCGCAGTTACAAAACGAGCGTCTGACATCTCAGCGTTCGTTGAAGTTACATATCTGCAGTTCGCTCGGCATTCAGCTGAGAAACACAAATCTTCCTACTCCGAGGGCTCGTAAACATTTCGAAACGAACAAAATATAAAAAAATAATTGTATTTCAATGGCCACCGAAAGGCCTTTTCAGTAAGTTAAGGACTTCGGATTCAAAGCAACCATTCGAGTCGATTCGGATCCGAGCATAGGTGTATTAAAACAAAGCGCACCGTAACAGCGGGGCTGTTGTTATTTTACGCTGCGTGATTAAGCTTGCTTCATTATGTATATTGTTCCCTAATCTGAAGGCGATCCGTAAGCTTGTCAAAAAAGAGGAAAGTGCGGGAGTGATTCTATCGTAGTATTCAGAGAAAATCATCCCAGCTGATTTAATGTCCCATTCCACAGTGGAAAAGAACAGCATTCCTTATCACACTTCGTCGCCAGAGCGGCATCTCACCAACGTCATGAAGACTTTGAGAGTCTTGTTCCAGAGGCTGTGCTCGATCTCCAAGATCTTCTCGCCGTAGCTGCGGGTATAGTTGGCGCCAGTACGTGCCGTCCAAGTACCGACCTTGACCAGGCCGTCCTTTGACAGCTCCACAATGTCCAAGTCAAAGTCGGTGCGGAACCCCTCGCGGTCGAACTCGACTTTGCCCTTGAGCCCGTCAGGCGCACCTGCAACACGAGCGGACTGCATCACAACCGTGTTACAGCACGACCGTGCTGCAGCACAACCGTGTTACAGCACGACCGTACTGCATCACAACCGTGTTACAGCACGACCGTGCTGCAGCACAACCGTGTTACAGCACGACCGTACTGCATCACAACCGTGTTACAGCACGACCGTGCTGCATCACGACCGTGTTACAGCACAACCGTGCTGCATCACAACCGTGTTACAGCACGACCGTACTGCAGCACAACCGTGTTACAGCACGACCGTGCTGCAGCACAACCGTGTCACAGCACGACCGTACTGCATCACAACCGTGTTACAGCACGACCGTGCTGCATCACAACCGTGTTACAGCACGACCGTGCTGCATCACAACCGTGTTACAGCACGACCGTACTGCAGCACAACCGTGTTACAGCACGACCGTGCTGCATCACAACCGTGTTACAGTACGACCGTGCTGCAGCACAACCGTGTTACAGCACGACCGTGCTGCACAGCACACCGTGTTACAGCACGACCGTACTGCATCACAACCGTGTTACAGCACGACCGTACTGCATCACACCGTGTTACAGCACGACCGTGCTGCATCACAACCGTGTTACAGCACACGACCGTACTGCAGCACAACCGTGTTACAGCACGACCGTGCTGCAGCACAACCGTGTCACAGCACGACCGCTGCATCACAACCGTGTTACAGCACGACCGTGCTGCATCACAACCGTGTTACAGCACGACCGTGCTGCATCACAACCGTGTTACAGCACGACCGTACTGCAGCACAACCGTGTTCAGCACGACCGTGCTGCATCACAAACCGTGTTACAGTACGACCGTGCTGCAGCACAACCGTGTTACAGCACAACCGTGTTACAGCACGACCGTGCTGCATCACAACCGTGTTACAGCACGACCGTACTGCATCACAACCGTGTTACAGCACGACCGTACTGCATCACAACCGTGTTACAGCACGACCGTGCTGCAGCACGACCGTACTGCAGCACGACCATACTGCATCACGACCGTACTGCATCACAACCGTGTTACAGCACGACCGTACTAAAGCACGAACACACTGCCTCACGACCATGTTGCAGCACGGCCGTACTGCATGACGACCGTACCGCATCACAACCATTCTGCAGCACGACCATACTGCATGACGACCGTACTGCACCACGACCGTACTGTTGACCTGGTGGCCGGTAATGACATCGTAGAAAACACTTAACGTGACATACAGACGCGCCATTTTGGCGCGGGGTCTACTACCGAAGGTAATTATTGAAGTCACGCATTGCGCATAATGGCCTTTGATATTAATTAACATAAGTGAGTCATTAACCATATACGATAGGCGCTTGAAACTCGAAGCACCATAGGATCCACTGTCATTCACCGTTCTAAACGCTCGAAATCATTTGTCTGATAAGTCTGTTTTGACATAAAATAAACAGAACGGCTGCATCAAATTGCCTGCAGGCCTCCCATCGCACTGTTTACTTTGGAACAAGTGACTTTGATAACACGGGAAAGTTCGTGTGAGAAGGGGAGCGGAAACAATGGATCGACAGAAGCCCCACGCCAACTGTGCCAAACTTGGCCGAAAAGCTGCTGAGGCCACAAAACAGTGCTCCTTATTCGGGACTTAAGCCAAAGAAACCAAATCAGACATCCGAGACGTTGTGTTTTGTGACGTTTTGCGGGGACACTCGTTTCAGTAAACAACTCACAGACTTCCCCGCACCGCCCCAGGCGCTTGTATTTAAATGTGCCTCTGCGCTACCCCTACCGTAAAAAGGAACTCCAAGTTTTGTGCATTTTTTTAGGGAGCAAAAGCGGAAGTTCAACAACCGTTCTGAATACGAGAAAAGCCAGAACGATTGTAATGTTATTCACTTTGCACTGTTTTCTTGTAACACTATGAATAATAAATATCGTCATAGTGGAAACGTACCACTACGTGCTTTTCCCACATTGAACCCATCTTACGTTCAAAACATTCCAGGTTTACTGTAGCGTGAAACGTGGACACAACTTCGCAAGAAATGCTCCTGCGGCTCATTTCCGTGTTGAGCACCAATACATATGGTGAAAACACAGAAACAGTCAAAACTGTCCAAGAGTTAGTAGGTTCTAGACCCCGCCCTTCAGAGTTGGTTAAGCCCGTAATTAGTAGGTTCTAGACACACCCGACCTCCAGAGGTGGCTACGGCCGTAGTTGGTAGGTTCTAGACCCCCGACCCCCAAAGATGGTTACACCCACACCGTGAAGACAAGATCTCTGGCAAAAAGCAACATAAAAAACAAATTAGGATGAAATACCAGAACGCTTTACTAAAATTACTCAAACCTCATTTTTCGTGGGCTACACCGTAGCACATACCAACAGCATATTATTCAACCGCCACAGAAAACAGGCTCCCCACACAGGCATCATATCGACCCTGCTGAGCACGGTTGTCTGATAAATTATACCTGCGAACAACATTTCCACCAACACCGCACAATCGGAAATTCCAATCTCGCTGCTGTCGTCTGCCTGTCGATTTCAGCCACTTTGCTCTACGTCATTTGATTTCCAGCAGCTCGCCACAGCAATTTTGCCGCCCGGCATTTCCATAAGCAGCTAATGTGGCGGGGCGGCACCGTCCTTTCGGGGCGCGGGCAATTACGGCGCGCGGAGAACGTACACGTCACCGGCGGGGCGGCGCTGTCCGGGGATGGCCGGATTAATGAGGAGGCTGCAACGGCTCGGCTTTTGACAGCGCGGCGCGGCTTTTGACTGGCGGCCAGCGACGCTGCCGTCGCCGGGCTCTGTAACAAACCCGTCAGCTGCCGTCCGCGGGTTTCAACGCAGCAGACAGTCAGCTGCCGCGCCCGGGCTTCAACACAGCAGACAGTTGGCTGCCTCCCGCGGGCTTCACACACGGCAGACCGTCAGCTGCCACGAGCGGGCTCCAACACGACGGGCAGTCAGCTTGCCACCCGCGGGCCCTCAACACAGCAGACAGTTGACTGCCGCCCGCGGGCTTCAACACGGCAGACAGTCAGCTGCCGCCCGCGGGCCCCCCTCAACACCGGCAGACAGTCAGCTGCCGCCTGCGGGCCTCAACACGGCAGACAAGTTGACTGCCGCCCGCGGGCTTCAACACGGCAGACAGTCAGCTGCCGCCCGCGGGCCTCAACACGGCCAGACCAGTCAGCTGCCGCCCGCGGGCCTCAAACACGAGGCAGACAGTGACTGCCGCCCGCGGGCGTTCAACACGGCAGACAGTCAGTTTGTCGCCCGCGGGCTTCAACACGGCAGACAATCAGCTGCCGCCCGCGGGCCTCAACACGGCAGACAGTCAGCTGCCGCCCGCCGGCCTCAACACGGCAGACAGTTGACTGCCGCCCGCGGGCTTCAACACGGCAGACAATCAGCTGTCCGCCCGCGGGTCTCAACACGGCAGACAATCAGCTGCCGCCCCGCGGGCCTCACACGGCAGACAGTCAGCTGTCGCCCGAGGACTTCAATATGGCGAGCTGCTGCTATCCGTGAACTTCCACACGACTGTCTGCCTACCGTAGGGGGGACTTCCACACGGCTGTCTGCTGCCATCTGTGGGCTTCTGAACGACAGTCTGCTGCCTTTCGTGAACTTTCATGCGTCTACCAGCTTTCGTTTTTACTTTCACACGACAGTCTGCTATCAACCGTGGAGTTCCACATGACAGCCCGCCACCGACCGTAGACTTTCACACGACAGCTTGCCTCGGTCAGTTGTCTGCTGGACGACAGCATACTACCATCCGACGCCGCCTATATCATGCCTTCAGACGACGGTATGCTGCAGTTTTGGCGCCCCGGCGTGCTTTTTTAGGCTGACATGCCCGTATGCCGATAGTGCTACATGTTCTTGCCCCGGGAAACGTCTGCGATCTTGGGCGGGTGACAATATGTCACTCGGCTCTCCCACTTATCCGTTGTCCCAAAGCTGACAGCCGGGTCGTGACAGCCTGTCACGCTGATCGCCGCTCGT